ACACTTTACAGATGTCTTTTGTAGTAGATTTGCCTAATATATCATTTTATTTCTTAACTGCTATTTCCATGGACACTGATTATAGATTCAAGTAAAATGAAAAATCTTTGACAACTTCAATATTTTCTCCATTTATCTTGATGTTGCCAATTTGTCCAGTTGTGAGAATTTTCGTTTTATGTTGATGTGTAATCCATGTTGAAGTCTGTCGTCTTTGATCTTCATCAGGAAATGCTTCAAGTCTTCTCCAGCAAGCAAGGTTGTGTCATGTGCATATCGCAAGTTGTTAATGGGTCTTCCTCCAACCCTGATGCCACATTCCTCTTCATATAGTCCAGCTTCTCAGCTTACCTGATCAACATACAGATTGAATAAGTACAGTAAAAGGATACAACCCTGATGCACACCTTTCCTGATTTTAAACCACAGTATCCCCTTGTTTTGTTCAAATGACTGTCTCTTGGTCTATGTACAGGTTCCTCATGAGCACAATTAAGTGTTCTGGAATTCCCATTCTTCACAATGTTATCCATAATTTGTTATGATCCACCTGAATGCTTTTTGCAAAGTCTATAAAATGCAGGTAAGCATCTTGCTGGTATTCACTGCTTTCAGCCAAGCTACATCTGTCATCAGCAATGACATCTTTCATTCCATGTCCTCTTCTGAATCCAGCTGGAATTTCTGGCAATTCACTGTTGATGCACTGTTGCAAGCATCTTTTAATTATATTCACCACAATTTTATTTGCATGTGGTATTAGTGATATTGTTTGATAATTCCTGCATTCTGTTGAATCATCTTTCTTTGGAAATGGCACAAATATAAATCTCTTCTGGTTGGTTGGCCAGGTAGCTGTCTTCCAAATTTCTTGGCATAGACGAGTGAGTACTTCCAGCATTGTATCTATTTGTTAAAACATCCCAATTGGTATCCCATCAATTTCTGAAGCTTTGTTTTTTGCTAATGCCTTCAGTGCAGGTTGGACTTCTTCCTTCCGTACCATCAGTTCTTGATCATACACTGCCTCCTGAAATGGTTGAACGTCGACCAATTCTTTTTGGCACAGTGACTCTGTATATTCCTTCCATCTTCTTTTGATGCTTCCTGCATCATTCAATATTTTGCCCATCATTCATTATTTCTCACACTTTACTGGACATAAAAATCACCTGGAGACTTAGTGAAAAATGTAGATCCAAAGCCTCATGGACAGAGATCTTGATTTTGCAGATCACTGTCGGGATCCAGGAATTTGCACTTTCTGTAGTCACTGCAGGTGATTTGGCACCAAGTGGTCCCTAAACCACAGTGAAAGAAAAAGCACCAACTTTCTGTAGTTCATGTATACAGATGTCCTCCCTACTAGCTGCCAGCAATTCAGGAGCAGAAACCAGGTCTTCTTCATCTTAGTAAAACCAATATGTAACCTCGAGTTTTATATCTTAATTATTCAGAACCTAAACTAGTATCTTAAAAACACCTGACATGTAATAAATGCTTATTAAAATTGTATGTTAT